CCCTGTGCTGGTATAGAGAGGCTTAGCGATCTCGGCAAAGCTAGGGAGCCAGAGGCGGCAGTACCCTACAGCCCCAAGAAATTCCCGAACCTGTCTCTTGGCCGTGGGGGTAGAGATTTTCATGACCACCTCTATCCTGCTATTGAAGAGCGATCGTTTTCCTTCTTTGAGTTCATAACCTAGGTAGGTCGTGGTGGTGGTGCATAATTGAGCTTTCTTGGCTGAGACCCGATATCCTAAGTGTTCGGGGGCACTCTAGTAGGAGTGCCTTCGAGGCCTCCTCACATTCAGGAAGAAAAGCGGCTGCTAGAAGCAAATCATCTACATACTGTAGCAGGGTGACATGTTGGTACCTTTCCCGGAACAGTTGGAGGTCCTTGCTTAAGGCCTCATCGAAGATGGTGGGAGAGTTCTTGAATCCTTGAGGCAGTCGGTTCCAGGTCAGTTGTCCTGAGAATCCCCCTTCCGGATCAACCCATTTGAAAGCGAAGATGGGTTGGCTGAGAGGCGATAAAGAAATTGAAAAGAGCCCTGGCCCGTTTGGCTCAGCGGTTAGAGCGTCGGCCTGTGGTCCTGAGAGACCTGGGTTCGGTTCCCGCTAGGGGCGCGTACCTCGGTTGCAGTTTGTCCCCGGCCCTGGTCGGTTGTGCGGGTGGCAGCCACTCGATGTGTTCCTTTCACGTCGATGTTTCTCTCTCTCTCTCTCTTCCTCTCTCTCCCTCCCACTCTACCTGAACAAAAAAATGGAAAAATGTCCTCGGGTGAGGATAAAAAATAAATAAAATAAAAAAAAGAAATTGAAAAGAAGGCGTCCTTGAGGTCCAAGACAGTATAGTAAACACGGTTAGGAGGGATCAGGCTCAGAAGCGTGTAAGGGTTCGGAACCGTGGGGTGGATGGTTTCCACCCGAGTGTTTACTTCCCTTAAATCTTGGACTGGCCTAAAATCCTCAGTCCCGGGCTTTTTAACCGGCAAGAGGGGAGTGTTCCAGGCCGACTGGCAAGGTTCTAAAATGCCAGCTTCTCTGAGTCTATTAATATGCGTAGTTATTCCTAGTTTAGCCTTTATGGAGATCGGGTACTGGCGGATGAGGTCCTTAGGTTTCTGTTGGGCCCCCCTCTTAGGGCAGTCCTTTTCCCAATGACCATATTCTTTGCAGTAGGCACATTGGTTAGGGTCAAGAAGTGGCTGAGATCGTTGCCTAGGTCTCCGTGGGGTTGGCCTTATGTTTTTAGGCCTATTTCCCCATAGCCCTTTTTGATTCTCTTGAAGAGCGGCTATGATTACTCTTGTGACTTTTTTAGTATTGGCCGTTTCTGGGTCGTCCCGGTTGTTAAATACTCTCTGAGCTATTTCAACTAACTCACTAAGATCCTTTCCTTCAAAACCCTCTAATTTCTGGAGTTTCTTCCTAAAGTCTGGGGCCGACTGGGTGACAAAAGCAATATTAATTGCCCGTCTATTCACAGGGGCCTCCGGGTCTATGGGAGTAAAGAGGCGATAAGCCTCCATGAGACGGTCAAGAAAGGCCTCTGGGGATTCCCCTGCGGTTTGAATGGTCTCACTTACCGTAGACAGATTAGTTGGCTTTTTGGTTGCTCCGCGGAGGCCCTGAAGTAGAGATCGGCCATACTGGGTTAAAGCCTCCTTACCTTGATCAGTGTTTGGGTCCCAATTGGGTCAGGTAGTTGGGAGGTAGGCTCCTATCTTGGCCGGATCTGTGAGGAGTTGTCTGTCTGGCCCGAGGACAAATTTTGCTGCCTCTCTGTGGATCCTGTCCCTCTCCTCGGAGGTCAACAGGACCTGCAACAATTGCTGACAGTCATCCCAAGTGGGCTGATGGGTGTGGAAGACTGTCTCTAGGAGAGAGATTAAACCTTGGGGTTTATCAGAGAAGGAAGGGTTCTGTTGTTTCCAATTATACAGATCGCTAGTTGAAAAGGGGACATAAACCATGAAGGGCCGAGTCTGGTCTCCACCTGGTGGTGGAGCAACCTGACGGAGGGGCAGGATGGCAGCCGAGGAGTCTGGCGCCTGCGGAGGAGGTTATAAGGGGTTCTGCCACGTGTATGGGAAGGACTGAGCGGCTGAAGGGCTTCAGCAATGGCGGCAGGTGGCGGTGGCGGTGGCCGATGAGGGGGTGGCCCCAAAGGGTCAGTGAGGGGGGTCTTCTGGGGGACCTGAAAGAACAGGGTGAAGCCTTCGGGAGGGAGCAGCAGCTGAGGGCTTCTGAGGCTTCCGCGGAAGCTGTACAATTAAAATCTTCTCCCTATTAGGGCACGAACATTTCTTAATATAATTAGGCTTGTCAGTAGCTATGTCAATCCAAACATCGATGTAAGGAGTTTGGTCTGGGTGTCCAGAAGTCCCATAGATGACGCCTCAAACTGCGAACAAAGAGCTTAAGTCAAAAGTGCCCTGGGAGGGCCAATTGACCCGGAAAGTGGGCCACTCCACTTCGCACAAAGTGCGCAAGAATCCAGGGTCTGCTGAGATGCTGTAACCTGAGGCGGGCTGGGAAAAATCTGAGAAGTTATTAAGGAGACACTGAAGAGGGGTCCTAGGTCCTGAAGGTCCCTGACCCATTTTGAAGAACACAGGCCGGCACAGCACAGAAACATAAAACACAAAAGGACAAACAAATAAGACAGACAAAAAATGAGACAAACCGAACCAGGGCCAAAAGCGTCGTCTAGCTATGGCCCTGGGACTGGATCTCTGTGCTGCGTCCAGCAGATCCACTTCCCCTCACTCTGCAGAGTTTTCAGAAACAGACTTACGGAGGGACGTCCCGTCTGCTGAATCGAACCTGGGCCCAGCGTTTCCAGATGCTCTCTAGATGGAATTTTGGAGTGGAGACAATTCCAGGGCAGAACGGCGTCTGGGGTGGAGGAACGTCTCTCCGAGGCCTTCCCCTAGACCGCCCGTCCGCTCCCGGGATGGACCTGTCTCCTGGAGTCTGAGGAGGTCAACCCGCCTATGTGGGGGACCTCGTTTGTCTTTCTCGCTGGGGCCTCCAAATGTTGTAGACCAACGAGACAGACCAGACTCAGACTCCGAACTGGGTTCAGATGAAGAGAGCTTTATTAGCCGCTGGGCGACTGTCCCACCCTACGCGGAGGAGAGAGCAGCCCCGAGCTCAGGGTTGCTTATATAGTTGTTTTAGCCCCTGTTAAGGAATTTGGATTAAGGGTATGCAAGCTAGCAAGCATTTACAGAAGCAGATATTTGCAGTTAGCTGTTATGCCTGAGGGAACAATCAGTTCTGTGTACACAAAGCAATGGTTATCTATACAATGCAGTGGTTATCTATTAGCAGCTAGTTCTTGCCATTCTCTTAAAAATCCAGGGGGCAAGGTCATGTGTTTATCCTTTACACTACCAGTCTCCATGTGGCTGCTTCTTTAATCCCGTAGTTGTAGGACTTCCATTCAGCTTGGTTTTGAATGATGGTTGTTCTGTAATTTAGTTGTAACTTTGATGTGGTCACGGGAGGACGTGATACCGCATTTACCTACGCCGCCATCTTGACTGGAAGTCTCTCTCTCTCTATTTTTTAATTCTATTTTTTCCCACTGATGATCACCTTTAGGCTATTTATTTATTTATTTAATCCTCACCCGAGGACATTTTTCCATATTTTGTTCAGATAGATTGGGGGGGGGGCATCTACGTGAAAGGGACACATCCCGCACAACCAACCAGGGCCGGGGACAAACTGCGACTGAGGTACGTGCCCGGGAACCGAACCCGGGTCTCTCTGGACTGCAGGCCGACGCTCTAACCGCTGAGCCAAACCAGCCAGGGCGAGTAGCCTGATATTGCAGAAGCACTTGTGGAGCATGAACTGCTCCTTTCCAGGACTTCAGTAGTATTCCTTTTTGCTCTGCGATGGCCCTCTTTTCTTTCCCTGACCCCATCTAACCACTGTGTCCTTTGCTTTTTCTCTCTCATTACCTTTAGTATCATGTTCTCCCTGAGCATCCCTGCTTGTCCCCAGCCAGAGTTGATGTAATAACCTCATCATTTCTGAAATGGAAATATGAAGCATGTCATTGTGTTCCCTTTTGCTCTTCTCAGCAGTATAAGAACATTTTCATTTACATTTGATCCAGGACTGATAAACAAAATGAGAAGTTTATGGGATGAAAGACTTTGAAAGACACAGTAATAATGTTGGTTCTAAGAAATCTTATGAATAACTTAATTAAATTATATTGCATTGACTTGGAATTATTATTTTAAATTTTATTTGAAAATGGGATTTATTTCTATTTTTCTAAAAATTGAAAAGTAAACAGACTTACAAGACAAGAGCAAAAGATTGATTTTCCTTAAAAAAAAAGAAAACAAAAATAAAAACAGATGTCTCAATTTTACACTCTAAGGAAGAAATTCTGTTTCTTGTGTGGTTAAATTTAGAGTCATGTTGTTCTAAACTGTTCCTTTGCCATTTTCTTCCTATCTCTCTGAAAAAAATTAAGCTAGCAGCTCCTCCTTGGAAATAAAGTCCAAAGTCTCACTTTCTGCCTGTCTCTAATACTGAATTTTCTTTTTTTTTTTTTTTTTGGTACGTGCCCCTAGCGGGAACTGAACCTGGACTCTCTGGTCCAGAGGCTGACACTCCAACTGCTGAGCCAAACGGGCCAGGGCCTGAATTTTCATTTTTAAGTTTAAAATGGAATTATGTACAAAATGAATATATGTGTGTTAAAGAGGAGAGAACATTACTTAACTTGTAAAGTGTGTGATGGAAATTTGTGTCTTTAGACCTTCTTTTTTTCTTTCATTGCACCACTGCATAGATGAACAGATACTAACGGAGGTTGGGCTGGTTGAGGAAGGTGAGTGCGAAGCAGCAGCCCCACCTGCTACCCTGTGGGGGGGCAGTCTCAGATCTCCACAGAACTCCTGGGCTCCATGGAACCCAGTTTTCAAACCACTGGTCTAGATGATCTCTAAATAAAGTAGTAACTCTAAAATTCTGAAATATTTTAAAGGTCTGGCGAGGAAGGATATTATCCTGAACTTACAGAATTTTGTGAAAAGCGCCTTGAAGGATTGGCTCCTGAAAGTAGAGCTTTGAGGAAAGATAAACCTGCAGCGACAGCATCCAGTTTTACAGCAGGAGAATGGGAAAAAATTGATGGTGATATAAAGGTACAGAGTAACACCAGTTTTTCTGATGTTGTCATGTTTTAGATATGTCTACTTCACTTACCCAAAATTCTAGGTTTCTTTTTTGTCAGTGAAGGGCTTTTTAGTGGTAGTTACTTAGGTAGTATTAGATACTCCTTATACCCAGGAGAATATTGTGAATGTATGTGTGTGTGTGTATCAGCTCACACTCAGTGTGTATTATAAATGACTCAGCAATATTCCATCTTGTGAAAGAACCCTTTCAATCAGCTTCTATAAATAGTACTCAATAAACATGTTTGCTTATTATTTTTTGTACCACCTGGTTATTTCCTTGGAATAAATTATTGGAATTCAAAATGGATGATGAAAAGATTTGAATACTTTTCTTCTTTTTAGTCTTCATCTGAAGACACTTATTCACTGATAGACTGCAACCTAGGTACATGCCCTTGACCAGAAACAAACCCGCCACCCAACGCTCTAACCGCTGAGCCAAACCGGCCAGGGCAAGATTTGACTACTTTTAATGCTTTTGAAACATATTTCTGTTTACATAAAAGTTGTATCCTTAAAATTAAGATACCTAGGAATAAACTCAAAGAAATAAAGGACCTATTCGCAGAAAACTACAGGTCATTGAAAAAAAAACAGAGGAATATATAAAAAAGTGGAAGTACATATCTTGTTCAAGGATTGGAAGAATTAACATCATTAAAATGTCCATACTACCCAAAGCAATCTATAGATTCAATGCAACCCCCATCAAAATACCAATGACATACTTCACAGAACTAGAACAAATACTTCAAAAGTTCATATGGAACCAAAAAAGACTTCGAATAGCCACAGCAATCTTGAAAAAGAAGAACAAAGTTGGAGGTATCACATTACCAGATTTCAGGTTATACTACAAAGCCACGGTAATCAAAACAGCCTGGTACTGGCACAAGAACAGACAGATAGACCAATGGAACAGACTAGAGAACCAAGAAATGGACCCAAGACATTATGCTCAATTAATATTTGACAAAGGTGGCAAGAGCATACAATGGAGTAAAGACAGACTCTTTAATAAATGGTGTTGGGAAAATTGGACAGCTACATGCAAAAAAATGAAACTAGACTATCAACTCACACCATACACAAGAATAAACTCAAGATGGATGAAAGACTTAAATATGACTCATGAATCCATAAAAATCATAGAAGAAACTGTAGGCAACAAAATTTCAGACATCATATGCAGCAGAATTTTCACTGATACATCACCTAACGCAACAGAACAAAGGAGAAAAGGAACACATGGGACTACATCAAACTCAAAAGCTTCTGCACAGCAAAAGATACAATCATCAAAATGGAATGCAACCCACTGTATGGGAGAGCTTCATTGCCAATGATATATCAGATAAGGGGTTAATTTCCAATATATGTGGAGTGCTTATACAACTCAACAAAAGGAAGACAAAGAACCCAATTTAAAAATGGGCAGAGGAAATAAAGAGACACCTCTCCAAACAGGACATACAGATGGCTAAGAGACATATGAAGAAATGCTCAACATCACTAATCATCAGAGAGATGCAAATTAAAAACAATGAGGTATCACCTCACACCTGTCAGAATGGTAGCCCAACAAATCATCAAACAAGTGTTGGCGAGGGTGTGGAGAAAAGGGGACTCTAGTACACTGCTGGTGGGAATGCAGACTGGTGCAGCCACTGTGGAAAACAATATGGTGTTACCTCAAAAAATTAAAAATTGAACTGCCATTTGACCCAGTGATCCCACTTCTAGGAATATACCCTAAGAGGCCTGAAACACCAATCAGAAAGAACATATGTACCCCCATGTTCATAGCAACACTATTTACAATAGCTAAGATCTGGAAACAGCCCAAATGTCCATCAGTAGACAAATGGATGAAAAAGCAGTGGTGCATATACACAATGGAGTACTATGCAGCTGTCGTCTTATCCTTTGAGATGACATGGAGGGACCTGGAAAGTATTATCCTAAGCAAACAAACCAAACAGAGAAAGATAAGTATCATATGATCTCACTTATTTGTGGAATATAATGAACATAACAGTCTGAAGAATGGAGTAGTCCCAGAGATGTGGAAGTGGGGTACAGACTGACAATCCCCAAAAGAGGGGATGGTGGGGGAGAGATAAACCATAGAACTTATATGCATGAACAATGAACTTATATGCATGAACAATGGACTTATATGCATGAACAACTTATATGCATGAACAACAACTGGAGACAGGGCAGGGAGGGAGAGAGAAGGGGAATCAGTGGGGGGGGGGGGAGAAACATCTATAACAATATTAAATAAATTAATTATTTTAAAAAAAGTTGTATCCTTGTGCTCTTCTGCCAGCCCTACCAGCTATGTATAAGAATGCCCATTTTTATTAAAAATAGAACTGCCAATTGACCCAGTGATCTCACTTTTAGGAATATACCCTAAGAAACCTGAAACACCAATCAGAAAGAATATATGTACCCCTATGTTCATAGCAGCACTATTTACGATAGTTAAGATCTGGAAACAGCCCAAGTGTCCATCAGTAGATGAGTGGATTTAAAAGCTGTGGTACATGTACACAATGGAATACTATGCAGCTGTAAGAAAGAAAGATCTCTTATCCTTTGAGATGGCGTGGAAGGACCTGGAGAGTATTATGCTAAACGAAACAAGCCAAGCAGAGAAAGACAGATATCACATGATCTCACTTATTTTTGGAATATAATGAACTAAACAAACTGCTAAACAAAATTAACCCAGAGACATAGAGGTGGGGTACAGACTGACAAGCCTCAGAGGAGGGGTGTTTGGGGGGAAGAGATAAACCACAGAACTTGCATGTGTGTATGCATGACCAATGAATATAGACAACAAAACTGGGGATGGGGCAGGGGCAAAGGGGAGGAGGGTGTCAATGGGGGGAAAATGAGAAACATCTGTAACAAAAACAAATTAATAATAATAATAAAAAGAAAGCACCGAGGAAACATAAAAGAAACAAAAGAATGCCCATTTTCAGATACTCTTCACTGGACACTGTAATCAGTTTTACATTTTTAAAAATCATTTAAATAATAGAAAAAGTGATAGTGATTTTTTTTAATTACTAATAAAGTTAACTTTTCATTTTTCTGTCACTTGAATTTTTTCTTTTGTTATTAATGGCCTATTTGTATCTTTACTGATTTCTTTTAATCAGCTTTATTGAACTAAATGTACATTTTAAAAATTAGCAATTTTATGGTATACATTTCCATGAGTTTTGACAAAGGTATATGCTATACAATGATTTCAATACCCCTAAAAGTTTCTTTGTGCCCCTTTAAGGTCAGTGTGACTGTACACCCTGGCCCCTGGTAACCACTAAACTGCTTTCTATCACTATAGATTTGCCTTTTCTAGACTTTTATATAAATATAATAATTCAGTATGTTGTCTTTCATGTCTGGTTTCTTTTACTCGGCATAATACTTTTGAGAGTCATCTATGTTTTTGCATGTGTCAATACTATATTCCTTTTAATTGCTGAGTAGTATTGAATTATATGAAAATATCACAGTTTATTTAACTATTACAAGTTATATGAAATGTTTTTCCAAAATAGCAATTCTGCCAGTAATGGATAAAAAATTTCAGTTGTTCTACATTCTGGTCAATAGTTAGTATCATCAGTATTGTTAATTTTAGCTATTTTATTAGGTATGTAGTGGTATCTTATTTTGGTTTTAATTTGCATTTCTGTAATGACTAATGAGGTTGAGTGCCTTTTCATGTACTTATTCATCATCTACATATCTTCTTTTGTGAAGTGTCTTTACATTCGTTCCTGTTGTGCCTTGGCTGGGTAGTTCAGTTGGTGGCAGGTTTGATCCCTGGTCAGGGCACATATAAGAATCAACTAATGAATGCATAAATAAGTGGAACCACAAATTGATATTTTTCTCTCTTTCCCTTCCTCTATCTCTCTAAAATCAATAAGTAAAAATATTTCTTAAATTCTTTCCCATTTAAAAAATTGGATTGTTTGTGTTCTTATGGAGTTTAAAATATATGTTTTACATTAGACATAATTTTTTAATTGATTTTTTTGGGTAACATTGATTAGTAAAAGTATACAGGCTTTGGGTATATAATTCCACAATACATCATCTGTTTATTGTATTGGGTGTTTACCATCCCAAGTCAAGTAAGTCTCCTTCACCATTTATGCCCCTTTACCCTCTCCTACCTCCCTGCACCCCTCCCTTCCTTCTGGCAATCACCTAATTTTCTTTTTATTTTAGTGGTTCTTTTTATATATTGATTTGACTTATTTTTTTATCCATCACTATTTGTGTTATGTTGTTTCACAATGCCATTGTGCGTTTCTGCAACTGGTCATCCCCTCCCCCTCTGCAAATAGCTGTGTCAAATTATTATATATCATGCTGTTGTCTGTGTCCATGAGCCTTTTTTTTTTTCTTTGCTTAATCCCTTCACCCTTCTCACCCAGTCCCAGCCCCCTCCCCTCTGACAGCTGTCAGTCTGTTCTCTGTATTCATGAGTCTGTCTTCACTTTGTCAGTTTATTTCATTCATTAGAGTCCATGTATGAGGGAAATCATATAGTACTTGTCTGTGCCCTTGACTAGGAATCGAACCAGCGAACCTTGCGTCTGCATTAACTCTTGAGCTAATCCAGCCAGGGCTATACATTTTTTATAAATTTTGGATATTAAGCACTATGTATCATTGGCAAATATGTTCTCCCATCTTTTTATTTTGTCGATGGTTTCCTTTGCTGTACAAAACCTTTTTAGTTTGATGTAGTCCCATTTGTTTGTTTTTTCTTTTGTTTCCCTTGCCTGAGGCAATATATCAGAAAAAATACAGCTATGAAAAATGTCCAAGATATTACTCCCTATGTTTTCTTCTAGGATTTTTATGGTTTCAAGTCTAACATTTAAGTCTCTAATCCATTTTGAGTTTATTTTTGTATATAA